GCAGGCTGATCTGGGTTTGGGAACAGGGTCTGGGGGTGATAAGCAACTGTATTGTGCATCACTAGTTTTGTTTTGCTGGGTTTTGGGTTTTCTTTCCCTTCTTATTATCCATTAGCATTTTATCTCATTTTGTTCCCAATTGTTAAACTGTTCTTATCTCAACCTATCTATTTTACTTTTGTTTCTCCTCCCCACTCCACTAGGGTGGGGGGAAGAAGGGAGGAGGGAGTGCGAGCAGCTGGGTGGTTCTTGGCTGTGGCTGGGGTTAAACCATGACACCCAGACACTATCGAAGAGACACATCTCTCCGACGGAGACCCAACTCTAATCCCGAAAGAAACCCTTCTGCTGACCTCATAGTGCCCTGGGTTAAATCTATGGCACAAAACCTTTTACTGCAGAAATAGCCCTGGGTCTTTCTACAGTCCCTTTCCTGCACTGACTGTTGTGTAGACTCCAGCCATCCTGTCAGCACAGACAGCCTCCACTGGCACTGCCATTGCCCGGAACAGCTCAGCAGCACCAGCTTGTTAGTTGCCAATCACAGCTCAGTTTAGTTTGGCCTGAAGGGCTTTCAGTTTACTGTGCAGAGGAAAAATAGGCTATTTTCTGATTTTTAGTGTTTAACAACAGCAGCTAGATAATGGAGTCGCAATAACTCGTAATTCAGATCAAGGTTCAAGGTTAGTGAAGTTTCAGTGCCTAGTGGGTCCCATGGCAAATGTGCAATTAAAAATTCACTTGTGCTATCTATGTGAAGACCTGCCTGAAGAAGGACATAAGCCAAAAGGAGTCACAAAATCCTTACTAAGAATTTGACTTTCCCCTCTAGTACTGAGGAGAGTCTGCCTCCCTGCCCAGAGGAGAAATGCAAAACAGAAAGCAACACCTTTCTCCTGCCCTGCTAGTGCCATAAGGAAATGGAAAGGTGGCTGGCTGCCACTCCTTGTCACAAGGGAACTAACCACTCTCAGATGGTGTGGTCATGCCTGCCCTTGTCATGGCATTCCCACTGGCAATTTTAAACTGGGTATAAAGGAGTGATTGATGTTGAGTCATTCCTCTGAAAGAGCGTGAAGAACTATTCTGTAAGATCCTGTGGTTTTTATGCAGAAAGAAATTGTGAAAATACTATTATCATGTTATAGAACACATCAGGAAAAAAATATTTGGTCCTTCATCGTCCATGCACGTTATACCCACATCATCTGCTTGTGCATACATTCTTGCACTGGCAGGTCCTCTCTGGTAAACCAAAACTGTCTTGCAAAAGACCCACCGTGAGTGGCCTTGTCATCAGAAAAATGCAGTTTGCATATTGTTGAGCATCCTGGTAGTTCAGAATCTAATTTCTCAATATTTTATTTGTGTGTTTACCCAGAAGAGTACTCATTTGATTACAGAAAGCTACATTTACCCTTCAGTGTGAGGGAGAATAAACCAGTGAAAAGCATTATTAAGCCAGATGACAGAAGAAATATGTTACTTCTGTATAATCATTTATGACACAACACACACTTTGTAGCTAACAATTCGTTATGGTTTAACCCTGGCCAGCAGCTAAGCTCCACACAGCCCCCTCCTCACCCTCCCCTGGTGGGAAGGGGAAGAAAAGAAGCCCCTTACAGTACATTCAGAAAGTTGTTCTGCCTTCCAGTTTGCCAACAAAATCTGCAAGGAGAGAAGGAAGGAGGCAGGGAGAGAGAGAGTTTAAGGGGCATTGGCTACTACAATTTGATGTCTTTTATATCAGCATGCTTCATAATTTTTCCTTCTTATCAATACTACTTTCTACTTGCAATTTATCCCTACAGTCCTTCTGTACTTTGAACACTGTACTGTTGCTGCAGAGCATGCTAATTTGCTGTACCATGTAGAATAGCATTACATAAATATCTCATTTTAAGCTTCCATGCACCTTTTAAGACTATTTCCGTGTCTAATCACAGAAAATCCATGGAGAAGCTCAAAATCCCCAGTTCAGGGACTATTAGCATATAAAAGTAACCATGGGTCCTCATGGCCGCCTAACACAACTTAGAGGAACACCCTTGTAGCAGAGTTTCTTAACAGCTCATAAGCAGATTACACAACTTAGTCTAGATGTGCAAGGAAGGCAGACTTAGCAGAAAAATGTGGTGCCACTATACAACAAATTTATTTTAACTCACATACAGAAAAAGAAAACTCAAGTCTTCTTTGGCAGTCAATGAGCCAAAAGCAGACAAATGAAGGGAAGCAATAAAGTATTTTGCAAAGATGGAAGGCTGTCAAGTTAAGTAGATTTGAGGGTAGTAACTGGTCATGTCCCTCCAGGTTGTGTTAGAGGGACGGGCAAGAATGGTCCCCCTTAATAACAATGAAAATTACAGACAGGAAGATTAGGCCTGTGGAAAATGCTTAATATCAAAAAATGCAGACTAGGTGAGTACTTAAAAATAAAACATCAACTTAGGGGGCCAAAAGTGAATCCCTGCTAAAATTTCACAGGCGAATTTGGAAGGTGAAAGAACAGAGAAGATTTCTAAGCAGAGAGGAACTTGTGAAAGACACAGTCTAGGCTTTGCCAGACCTCTTTTAAGGACAACAACGAAAGGCACTTCACATTGCGAGAAGAAAAAGTTGTGCATATTAGATGGAGAAAAGGGTGAAGAGAACCCCATGTAAATAAATATCTCAATACATTTGGGGTGCATTTCAGGTGCATAAATACAAATAAAAACCGAGAGAAAAAAATACATAGTTACATAGTAAAAATTACTTGCACGTACACCTCCACACCTGACATGACTCAACATACATACTTAGCCTTCCCCTCCCAGAGCAAAGATGTTGTCAGTTTTGACCATATTTTATAGGCTCTAAAACTTACACACTATTAAACATGTTACTCTCACAAACAAAATATAACTGTGTGTCTTCTGAATAACTAAGTGCCTTACTTTAGTCCCATGTAGTGTAGTTTAAATCAGCTTATCCACAGCCAGAAAACTG